GCTGTATTATTTCAATTTTTTTATTTTATTTGTATTTTTAAATGTATGTTTTCTCATTTAAATCAAGAAAATAAAAACATACTGTTGCACTTTTATAATCACTTTTTTTTTTTTTCCCTTACTCGAGAATTACTTTTGAGAAGGTAACTGCCACCAAGAAGACTTACTCGTTTCACATAAATATCATAATAAGAACTCTGCAAGCGAGACAGGTGGCATCTGATGCAATTGTCGATGTTACGGCCTTGAAATTTGATGTGGCAACTACTTTTGGCATGCCTGTGATGCTTCGCGAAGTATATAAAGGGTTAAATTGGCCACGAATTCTTCCTATATCGCCTTCATGAAGACCTTGAAAATTCCTTTCTTTGATCTGTTGGCATCAGAGCTCTGTTTATAGTGATTTGCAGGTGGAACATTCATTATTTTTATACAAGAATCCGTGGAATGTTTTGTATTTCAGTTATCCGTCTAAAATATGCTTTCAGCCAAAAATATATCCTTCGAATATATTTTAAATCAAAATAAATTAAAGCTTTAAAGTAATGAACAACAAATGATTATTCTCTCATTGGAGTATATGACGTTAGAAACGTCTTTTATTAATTATGCTTATGAGAACGAAAGCTTATAAATATCAGCTGTATTACATCATGTATAATAATAAAGAACATGTATAAACATTTTCTTTTTTTATTTATGTAAATTATCAAGAATCATCATTGTTTTAAAATACATTTTTTTATACTCTGATAATGTTGTAGTATATGTTTAATACTTTTTTCTTGTTCCCTTAATTTTTCCTATTTTCCTGTTTTTTGTCCCCCCCCCGCCACATTTTTAGTACTTTATCGTGTTATATACTAATCGTGTTATACCTTGTACTTCAATTTTGGCATCCTGTCTATACACTAAGTTTTATACCAACTTTACAAGTATATTAATTCCATATTATTAAATCGAATTTTTATTAGCTTATTTCTCTACTCTCCATATCAAAATTTCAATACCTTTCATACATTCTTATAGCAGTTGCACGTGCTTAAGGATATGAGATTTTTGTGTCACTTCGTATTTCCACAGCCAGCTATCACACAATGCTCGGTAATAAATTTACGAGAAGAGCGAATTGATTCTGCCATTTTCTCCATAGCGCAGGCACAAAAGAGCACCAACGTCTAATCCTTTAGTATAATTTACAACAAAATCTGGACTCAATAAAAAATTTTATCTCTTTTCTTCGAAGACTGTATGATTTATGCTTGAAACAGCGACTTTGAAAAGTTGTATGGGTAGCTTTTATCATATTTCTGGTGGCTGAATTTCTGCTATTCTTAAGTTAACAAAAGGATGAGGGGTGAAAATTTTCTGGCTGCTTTTTAAGAGTATAAGCGAACATTGATATATGTCCATGTGTTATATTTTTCTGGTATTCACTGATCGTGATTCATAGCTTTAGCTGTATTCTGTGATATTAAATGGAGAATAGTAAACCGATCTTACTATTTTCTGCAGAAAGTTGTAATACTGCTGAATGAAAGGAAATACCGTATGATTTGGTGACTCTGTCGCTTTATTAAAACCGTATGATAAATATTGCTTTACATTTTGGAAAGCGACATAAAATCTGATCACAGAGTGTCTATTTTACGATAACGTTAAGTATTTTCTCTTATAATCCATATTAGTAAAAGAAATCCGGCACGCTTATATCCGATAGGAAAGCCGTTTTAGGAGGCTAATTGTGTGTTATTGGGAAATACAGCACTACCTTGCGTAGTGCTTATTATCGGTTCTGCTAATATGCCGGAGTGTTTGAAAGCGTACTAATCGAAAACCTAAATACATGTAAAAATGCTAATTGATTCCAAAATAAATTTCTCCCTTTTTTCTAGTAAATAAAACGTGATTAATAAATTTCAATATCTTTATTAGAAAATAATTTTAAAAAATGAATTTTTTATTCGCTAAAAATAAGTAACTGCCCATTTTTCTTATTTGGCTTCTTCCCTTAACACATTTATTTTCAGAAACGAATTCCATTGTTTGTCGTACGACAAATTGTAAGGCTACGTTCAGCATTGGAATTAACTGCCGTAATATACTCTGGCAGGGTTTCAGTCGTTATAATATTTTTTTACTGTTGTTCAGCTGTTAATTTTACTGCAGGCAGTTCTCGTACAGTCGTCATTGTCTAGCAAGTTTCTGTGTAATTTTTACTACGTTATTAGTGACATCACCTCCTCCAGAGGTAACTAGCTATCTGAGCTCCAAGAAAAGAACGGTCGAAGCATAGGTACATATATTGTGGGAAACCACAGGAAAAACTTAGACGTGTATATATATTACTGGCATGTATAAAGGCGGGGTGGGATTTCATTTATGTATTAAAAATTATTTTGTTTACTATTGTGTTTTAATTCATTTTCCCCTATTAAAATTTAGTTTGTTTAATAATTTTTAAACCACACTGTGTTAAACCGATATAGTGCTACCTCGAAGCCGGACTCTTGCAGATATTGCTGTAGATGGAAACTTTCGGTATCAGCAGTATTATGAATATTCTTTTCAGCAGCATTATATTCAAGAAACCAAAAGTATTGATAGTATTGATTGACCACTCTAAACTGCTGAGCTCAGTCCAAAGTATTCCTTCAAAGAATTCTCTAATGAAACTTTGTGAGAAATGAACTCTAGGTAGCGTTTAAAAAAATAAAGAATAGAAGCGTTCTTTATGTGTAGTATATTTGTAAGATGTGTGTAACATTTAGATCACCCGCTTAAATTTGTAAATATTTTAAATTTTTATGTACTTTAGATAAAAATTACTCTTTTGTGTAGTTTACGAATAACACAAAAGCTAATTAGTATCCTTAGAAGACATCCTTTCAAGGATTTATCGCAGTTAACTTATTTAGCTATGAAAGTTAATTTTCGCAGTAACATGTCTACGTAAATAAATAGACAAAATGATTTTTTCTTGAAAATTCACTGGCAGATGAATATGAATTTATTTTCAAAAGCAAAATTTATGAATTAATATTTTAATCCTCTCAGTGTACGTACTTTTACAAAGCAGTTTCATACCTTTAAAAACTTAAGTAGCTAATATGTATAAAATATAAATTTGAAAGTTGAATGTCTCTTCATATATTCATAAAAAATAGTATGTGTTTTTCCTAAAATCTAAAAATATGGCTTCTGTTACAATTTTGTTCCTTATATTCAGCAGAGAAACGTTAAACATGACGCAATGCAAAGCACATTTAAAGAAGAAGCTAACCTGGAGATATCTCAGTACTTTGAACTCACAGTGCACTAGCAATAACTGAGGAACTGATACTCCCTGTGGTCTTACATAGTTTGTAACCGGCCGCCGAAATATTTCTAGTACTTTCTGCTTTTCGAAATTACTGGATGGCATATGAGGACCAAATACGGTTGCTGTTATACATGAAACCATTTACAGTTATTCATTTACGATACTTATTACGGTGATACAGGGACGGGATCAAAATGTCGTCAAATGGTCGTCAAGTTATAATTTTTGTTTGTATTTTAGCTTTTGGCGATTTCTCGTCGAATTTGGCGACAAAAATTAGTCTCCAAAACCGTTGCCAGCTTGATGATATCTCGTCAGATTAGCGAGATAGCTTTTTAAAGAGACTTGCCCCTGTATTCTTATTATTCCGGTAGAACGTGATTTCTCTTAGCTTATCATGTTAGAATATATAGAAAAATATAGCAATTTCACATATAACTTACACTAAAATTATGTTTATGTACAAAATTCGTAGCAGTTTAGTATCTTATAACATAAGACATAAGATACTCTGTGGATGACTAAAGTATCTTTGCAGTTTGGAATACTTTTCATTCCAAAATTCGACTCTAGAATATTGAACATCTGAATTGTATTTTGCGCAACTTTTCTTTCAAATGGCCTTTTCTTGCATATTTCGTGCTTTCCGCTACCCCTCCGTGGAGAGGAGGGTATAAGGTTACATGTGTGCTAACTTAAACCTTTCTTCCACTAACTTTTTTTATCTGACGTTCGCATGAAAGATGCGTGTCCTCATGGGCACACGTGCATGTGGCTAGTAGGAAGAAAGGAGAGATTCGATGTCCACTGCACACGCGATAGGGTCATTACGTAGCTGTTGGCAACAGTCTCAGTGTCTTGATCGATGTTGGACATTTTTTCATTTATTTCTTTGTTTCTTTTCTTCCCCCCCTCTCTTCCCAGCGTGAGGGCTTGTTTTAATGAAACAGAAGGGGCGGATAACTTTTTCCCCTTTCCGATGAGGGATGAGTCCTATAATTTTACGGCAATCGGTTTTCTTCCGTTCGTTATGTGTTTATTTTGATAAGTTTCAGTGGAAAATATGCAGTTTATAATACTTTAAATTGAGGAGAAGAAGGTTTTTAAGTTGAAGCGGTAACTTTTGAATTATTTACCTGTTGAGTCATGCTATAAGTTCTGCCCCTTTAAAACGTATATACGCGCAATATATTTATTTTTTCAAAATGTAATTAAATAAATAATTCTTGACATGTATAGCATACATTTGGGACTTCGTGATTGATATTTCTATATTTATATTCTATTTCTATCCATTATGTAAGGAGTTCTTCATTTCCACATGCATTACAAATTTTTTGCCTTTTTGTGCTAGTATATCTAAAGCTGAAGCTTCAGTCGAAAATTTACAAATTTTATTATTTTTTATCATCAAAAATGTGTAAATGCTTCCGATATTTTACAACGCTAGTAGTGCTGTTCAGATTTAAAGTTACGCTCTTTGTAATCCAGATTTATTTAGGCGTATAGCATACTTTTATATAAACAGAAGAGAACATTGAGAAACGTCTTTTTTTTCGGGGGGGGGGAAGCTTTCCAGAACATAATTTTCTGGGGATATACTGTTATTTCCTTAGTATATTATTGCTATTTATTATCATTTGCACGTAGAAAGTTGAATGATCGTATTTCTGTTTTCTTGCAGAACTCAATCCGACACAATCTGTCTTTGCACAATCGCTTTATGCGTGTTCAGAATGAAGGCACTGGCAAAAGCTCTTGGTGGATGATCAATCCAGATGCAAAACCAGGAAAAGCGGCCCGCCGCAGAGCTACCAGCATGGAGACACAGAAATACGAGAAGAAACGAGGCCGTGTAAAGAAGAAGGTAGAAGCCCTCCGAAATGGAGCTACGCCGAGTCCGAGTTCCTCAGTATCTGAAGGCCAGGACCAATTTCCAGACTCACCTGTGCATCATGGCTTCCAGTTGAGTCCAGATTTCCGTCCGAGGGCCTCATCCAATGCTAGCTCATGTGGTGGCCGCTTATCGCCAATACCAGCAGTCGAATCGGACATGCACGATAGTGACATGCCCCCTCTATCACCCATACCTTGGAATTCGCCGGAATTAGTACACCTAGGCGGCTATGAACCTCCTCCATCCGCGTCCACAAATTCAATGGACAGGTGAGAACTTTCATTTCTGAATTTCTTACATTATCTCATTGTATATTTATGGCACTGTTCCTTCATAGAATGTTTAAATTCATGGTTTGTTTATTGATTAGAATAATCATAAGAATGCATTCAAGAAGTGAAAATCAGCAGAATAATTTAATATGCGTAGTTTTTTTTTTTTTTTTTTTTTTTTTTTTTTTTTAAGCTTGATTACCGATATGCATCTTGTAAGAAGCGAGATTTTTCATAAACAGCTTAAATCACTAAATCACGTGTAGATGTGAAGTTGTGCTTTTTCACTTTTAGAAATGAAGTTTTACCCAGTTTATTTTTTTAAGTTGATATTATCTTTCATTTACTTACCATCGCTTTCTCTTTACTATATTGAAAATTTTTGGATTGTAATATAAATACATTCAAATTATTTTCAAATAATGTGTATATTTACGGAAAACATTAAACTGCATTATTAAAGTAGAAATAGTTTGTTTGAAATCAATAAAAAATACTTGGATCCAGACAGCTAATCGTAACTTTTATTTAGTCGTGACTATTCTACCTCACTCTTATTATTAGCGTGTGATTTGCACTCCCGATCCATTTTACGAACCATTATCATCTGGGCACGCTTCTGCAATGTTAAAAGAATCGGTGATTAGTTATGAGGGTCTCAAACGTATTTCTGTTCGTACTGCATAAATAATGCTTCAAGTATTATTGAAAAAAAAATTGAGGTTACTGTTGCAGGTACTAGTAGTAATTCTGATTTTCGTGAAAATGCAGGTACACAATTAACACTGTTGCATCGATTCGGTTGAAAATTAGAAGTAATATAGTATGAGAGAAATGACCGATTTTGAGCGCAGAGAAATAATGTAACAAAAGTGTATACATTTTTTGGACCGTCAACAATTTGGGGGTAAGAAAACAATAACAATTTTGCTAAAGGAAATATCTGTAAACTGAACTAGATCTCAGAGATGAGATCTTGCACCGTTCAATATGAACCGATGTTATAATAAGGATGCAAATTCGGTAGAATTTCATAATAGCACTTATCGTCGGTAGAAAAGTCTTCATTTATTGTATCATAATCGGTTGTACATAGTGAGGTCCTCAAATTTTAAAAATAACTTAAAACGGATTCGTATCACTTTATAGAAATTTCCATTTAAGGAGTAATAAATCTTAATAATAATAATCTGCGAGGAAAATTAACCAGACATTTTACATGATCCAAGAAAACATTCATAAATGTTTCCTTGATTTCTGTAACTGGTAAAAATATTTTTTGAAGAGATATTGCATTATTGTTCAATGGAATATTAAGTTTCGCGAACAGTTTAAAATACATTTATTTAAATTTCGTAAATCTTTGAGGATAAAATCTCTCTTTTTTTTTTTTTTTTTTTTTAGCTTCTATGTTCAATAAACTGGACATCTGGGAGTTTGTTAGGTTTATCAACTTCGTTACTGAGTAATCGGAAGTTCTGCTTTTTATTGAAATAAAGTTTCAGTATTTTCCATATTTTGCTTTTAAATAATTGAAAGTTATATATATTTCTATTCAAATTCTCAGTTCGGTGGCGAAATTTCTCAGGAAAATGAATTTTTTACTGAACTTATTTTTCTATAAATATACAGTCGTTTCAAATGAAAGTCTGAATTTTGAAGTCTATGGGTATTATATCGAATTAAATTTATATTGTGATGTAATTAAATGAAAACACTATACTTGACCAATTTTCTAATTCGCAAGCCCATTTATTTAATTAAATAAGAATCGTTTAAACTGAATTCTTTTTTCCAGTTAATAATCGCTTTTAGGTCTATTCACTTAAACTATACGTGGAATTTCCAATTAGGCAAAATATCAACTTTATTTTGCCATAGATGTTATTTAAATAAACCTCCATTAATTTCGACAGCGATCAGACATATTATGTGCAAACTGGTTGATACGGTGATAAGTGCGTTGCTTCACCAGGTACACAGCCATTAGTAGCTGTTGCCTGAAACCTGAGGTGATCAGCGAACAGTAGCTGTTGCCTGAAACCTGAGGTGATCAGCCAACAGTACCTGTTGCCCGAAACCTGCGGTGATCAGCCAACAGTACCTGTTGCCTGAAACCTGAGGTGATCTCATTTAGTGCTTAACGAGATGAAAATGTATGAAATTGCTCAGCCATATAAAGCATATTCATTTGACTATCGGACCACACACTTTATTTCCCTTCAATGTGTTAATTAGTTCTATTTGGAAACCCATTGTCAGTTTATCTATTCAAGTATCGAAGCTATTATCGCGACGTGTCCGGCTCAATGAAGTAAGGCTGTTTTAGCACTACATGTAAGAAATTCGTCAGATGATTTCCCAGTGGGAAATGGTGACAGAAAAGGAAGTCCAAAGGAATATCCATCTTACAAGGAAGTAGACATTTAAAATTCTGCTCAAGCAATCAGTCTATGTTTAGGTGCGAACAAAAACTTTTGTTTAGTTTTAATCTTCTTGCATTTTTTCGACAATCTTTATGAGTTAGCTGATGAAATTATTTATTCTTTTATCTTTATTAATATGAATCTCTGGATTTTCGGGAGAGCGACTACCATATTAATATGGAAAGCAATGGCCAGAGTAAAGCAAATGCGAGTTTAGCGTCATCTGTCGAGGGAAAAAATTACTTACTTATAACTATTTGGTTTCGACTGTTTTCTCAACAGATGGCGCTATGTTTATATTCGCTTTGCTCTGACCATTGCTTTCTATATAAATACGGTCATCGTTTCTCCCAATCTGCAAACTTCTTTTGCTCGTGAAGAAGAGAATGTATGTGTCCGATTGCCCTGAAAATTAAAAGAGTTTTATTCAAAATCTATTACAAAATAGAGTTGCTGTTTTTTCTGATTTAAAATTTTTCTTTGGCAGGTGTTTCTTAGAATACGCGGAATATTTAAAATAATTTCAGCTTATTTCATCGTTCAAGTAATAATTTCAGCTTGTTTCGAGATGTGAAGATTTATTTTCCTTCTGGTAGAGATTCTGGATTTCCATTTTAAAAATATTATTGCATGAAGTTATCATTACATGTAATGAATGTTTTGTACTGACCCCATTAAATTTGAGATTTCTTCCCCCCCCCCAATTTTCAGCTGAATGTATCAAAGATAGATCTCTAGCAATCAGTAAAAAAATATAAAAACCTGAATATTGTTTTTCAGGTTTACGACAGATCATTTGGTAAAGTCCCTTGCTGAATCAATGAAATTGAGAAATGGATCTGCTGGAGATCCAGATGGCGGTTTTGGACGACTTACGGATTGTGCTGTGAAGCCCATTTCCAATGGTCGGCCTTCACCTCAGCAACTGAGTTCTGGTGGAGGTTATACAATGAATTACAACCCTCATTACGGCAGCAATGGTGGAGTGAGCCATAATTCTGGTGAATACCGGCCTCATTCTTATCAGCAGCAGGCCAGTCCTGATCCTTTGAGTGCCATGGCCAAGAGGCATTCACCACCTCATCAACCACAGCAGGTAAATGTATATTAATTTTTTTCTGAGTTCTTTCACGGTTATTATCGGCGGGGTGAAAATGGATGTCTGTCTCAGTCCAGGTCTTCGATGGCATTACTTTCTTTTTTTTTTTTTAATTTCAATTATAGCTTGGACAATTATCAGTGCCTAACCCTTTTCGGCACAGTGTGTCCGGTCTGGACACACCTAAAAATTTCCTTCTGTACGCACAGAAAAATTAAAATGAAAAAGGATTTATAGGTTACTCTGAACCTTCTTTATTTATAGTGGATGGCAGCTCAACACAAACCAGTCCATATATTTTAGCCATATTTAGTTTTTTAAGACCCTCATTTTTCAAAGAAATCTTCCATATTTTTTTTAGGGTATAAAAGGAATTGTTTGAAAAGAAATTTCTATGTTTTTTTTGGCTGTATGCTAATCTCCTTATTATATATTAGTTTTAAATTTTTACCTTGAAATCTTGCTTAAAATCAAACGGCAAACCCTAGGTGTGCCCAGACCATGCTCACCGATAATCTAGGACAACTGAGAGTCTGTATTCTTTGTTTCTCCGCATCTCATCGGCAGTTCATTGACAACAATGCTCATTTCAGCACTCTTTTCGAAGTTCTATTCAATCAGTGTGCCACTTTGGGCACATCTACAGAATTAAAACAATAAGTGCTATCTTCACAAAATTTTACTTGTGTACTCCTCTAGGCCTAATTAGACTGCCTACCTTTTTTTTTTTTTTTTTTTCTTTTAATCAAAACTCCGACTTTAAAAGGTAGCGTGCCGGAAAGGGTTAAATTCAATCCGAGTCCTTCAAGGTTTGGAAGAAGCCGAAATCCCAGACAGAATCCTGAATGACTTGACATCTAGCTTGAGACTGAATCAAAATATCAATAGCTAATTTTGTTGATCATTCAACATTTGTTTTGGCACCTATTACAATTAATATTAGCTATTGAGAGTATACATTTCCCTGAGAAATGTTGGAGTCTTTGAGCAACCGGGGAATAAGAGGAGGGGAAAAAAATAACAACGTGTTTGCTCTTTCAGAAATTAAATACTTACGGGCTGTACTCGGTTTGGTTAAGAAACCCACAAATATGTTAGACGTGAAAATAAAAGAGCAAATTTACCTGATTGGTTATCATATTTCTGTCGATAATTTATTCAGCTTCTTTTCTTCCATGTGTTTCGTAATTTCATTTAATTTTATGATGTATGTATTTTATTGTAATTATTACATTTATTGTATTGCTTAAATATTTTTGTACGCGACTTCCCGTTGGGTTGAGGTGCTTCTAATTTTAGAATCAAATTATGCCAATTATATTAATGTGGAGGCTGCACGCTTCTTTCAAGCACGATATGACTGACATATGGAAATTTCTCTTTATTTTATTATTTGTTTCTGTAATGAGGACGATTTGCACCAAGAGGTGCATGGGTATCATTCTTTAACATTTCAGCAACCTGATGTAATCCTTACGCGCATCTTAAATTTTATTTTTCATATAGAATCGTTGCAAACGGAGCAACATTGTGCATTATTATTTTAACTTTCATAATTATTTGCTTTCGATGGTGTCTTCTGTATTTCGTCCCCCTTTTTTTTTTCTTTTTTTTTTTTTTTTCCGAAATGCGATTCAGGAACTTTTATGTTTCTGTTATTGGGTAGAGATACCTACCCGTAACTCGCCCGTATTTCTTATGCGTTATAACATTTTCTACCTTTTAAGTTATCTACCCAGCAATTATGATGTAATATTTACAAAGGAATAATTTAGTAATTAAAAAAATTCTTTGTTTTGAAGTGCACTTCCTTCTTCTTGAGATGTGGATGAATGATGAAATTTGTAACTACATGTAAGAGTGACAGTTCTTGAAATATATAAGTAATTTCTTCAATATGGGTTTGATTTGAGTAGTCTTCAGTTGATGTGAAGATTTTTTAGATGTGTTCTGTACATGAAGGAAACTCTGAAATTATATGTATTATTATAAAACCATAAAGTGTTCTCAATTATGTGCTACTAAATATTCCATGAAGATTGAGACAATACAGAATGCCACCGTGGTTGGTTTTATTCGTCGGGACAAGAGGAAGGATCGGCAGCTGTTTTTATAGATTAGGACAAAACGTCTCATTCTTCTCACTTTTCATCTGGCAGTATATTCAGGTACTTATTTGTCTCATGCGCCCGCAGCTTCTATTGTTGCCACGTAATTTTCGACGTTGTTGGTCACTAAGCATTGAAAAATGGGAGCTACTTCCTCAATTTTCAATAACTGTATTGTAAATAATCTTGTTTATATTCATCAGTGTTTTACTCTTTAGAAATAGACTATCGCTGGTATTCTTAGTCAAAATCTGTGACTAAACTCTCAGTTTAATGTATCTGTACAAAGGTCTTTATAGACATATCTTGATTATCGTTGTATATAATTTAGATTATTTATTGGAATTTTAGTGGCTAGCATGTCGCGCAGCTGCACCTCAGGTCCTGGGTTTGCTTCCCGAGTTGGGCAAGGTTGTCTGAGCACTTGTCCAGGGCATATGCTGATGCTCTCCGGGGCCCAAGGTCAAGAAAGTAGATTTTGGGGCATTCGAGACCGTGGCCCACTACGGCTGTTGCGCCACTGGGTTTAGTTTAGTTTATTTCAATTTTAGTCGTAATTTAATTAAGGTCTCGTACAGTCGTGTAAGCTATGAATGGCGAGTGAAAGGTTTCGTCGTGGTTCATTTCGATGAATTCTTCTGTAATGAATAGGATTACGTTTTCTAATTTGCTTCGCAACGAAGGTTGTTAAATCAGTCTATCTATAACGTATTTTGCTGTTCCCCTGTTACCTGTTGGAGCAATTTTTATCTTTGTAATGGAAGGTATTTTTTGACATTTGTGCTCCATTTCCAGTCTGAGATGAAGTTGGTACTTTACCTTGCAGTTAGGATCGCACTGGGTCGGAGAATTTTGGAATAGCTTGAACATAGAGTTTTTGTATATAAGATTATTATTAACTAGTTACCCTTAAAATTGCTTCATTAAATCATCCATCTTAAATAGATAGCCGTTGAATGTTTTGCTGTCATAAATAAATCATTTACTTATTCATCTAAATAAAAGATGTGGTATGTTGTGCATTTAAAAAAGTTTGCTATTGTGTTCTCATTAGATACTTGCCTTGTTGGTCTCATTCTTTTATGAAGAATATAACTGGTAGTTTTGAATTGAAATGTTATTTATGTGTATATTTTATATGTGTAATGTAAATTTGTGAATAATGTGTACTTGATACTTTAAGTATTATTATACTTAAAGTGTTATTATATTAAGGTAATAATACTTTAAATATGTACTTAATATAATAATACTATATGTATATATACTTAAAGTATTATTATAGCTTTATTCGATACTTTTAAGTATTTAATTAATTACTCTTCAGTGATTTTCAAGCTGATATACTGATGCAATTGCTGGTATATTATTATTCTTTTTCGCTGCTTTACAGGTTATTGAAACCGTCAATGGCAGGCCATATACACTGACACGCTTACAGACCATTAGTCAACATCATACAATGGCACCACCAACGCAGCTTGATGGAATGCCTCAGTATCGGCCTGTATCATTCATGGACAGTGCAGACTCTTTAGTGAGAGGTTCAACCCATCACCAGCCCCAGCAACAGTCTCTGTACAAAGAAATAAAAGAGGAACGCTTGTCACCTATGCTTGCACCATGCTCAGGCACGCCACAGGCACCTGCTCCCTCCTACCATCAGCACATGATGAACCAACAGCAGCAACAACTGCAGCAGCAACAACAGCAATCTTCAGCAACTTCCTTGGTAAATACAGCTAGCCATGTAGTTGGGCACCTTTTGTACAACTCTCTGCCACAGGATCTGGACTTTGAACCTCTTCCTGAAGGCTTGGAATGTGACGTTGATCAAGTTATTCGACATGAACTAAGTGTTGATGGGAACCTGGACTTTAATTTTGACCCATCTGCAATGAATGGCTCTTCTACGAGCTCTCAGCACCACCAGACTGCTATAACTTCTACTAGATCGTGGGTGCATTGAAGTGATTTGGGGTTGTCATGAGAGATAACGTTAGAGAAAATATGCTTATAATGGTTATTATAGTGCTGTTATTCTCGCATTTATTTTACCTTGCAAAGGGTAACGAAATGTTAAGAAAATATTTATGTTTAATATAAATTTTTTAAGTGCCTCAACATTTTAATTTTTAGTAAATGCTTAATTTTTAACTAAACTTTATAAAAGATTTTGTTTTTAAATTTAAGCACCTGGAAATCGTTATATGTCGCTGAGACAAATAGGTAAATCTATTCCTCAAGTTATTAAAAAATTAATATTTGGTAGACACCTGTTTATATGATAAATGGAAGATATTGTTTTCAAAGCATAAAATGTGCAACTGTAAATCAAATTTTATATTAAACTAAGTAGTAATACATTTTAATTTTTATTGAATTTTAAATATGTTACAAAATTTTAAATTTTAACTTTTACATTTAAAATTTTTTTTGTCCGCTTTTAAACAACTGACATTTTTTATTTAAAATATTTGTTGGAAATTATATATTACTGTGTAATTATATGATAAGTTCAGGTCATTTCATGTAAAAAATTGTATATTCTGAATATTTTTTACATATACACACACTAACTTTTTCACCCTTTTCATGAATTTCCACATAATGATAGCCATTTTTTCAAAATTTAGTTAAGCCAAAGTAAGCGTATGAAAGTATTTTTTTAAAATTTATAGGAAATGTATACGGGTTTTTATGAAAAGGTGCTATAAAACCAGCATTTTAAAATTGTAACGCATACATTTTAATCAATGAAGTGGGAAATTTTTTTTTAACATTTCATACCTTCTGCTTGTGAAATTTCATGTATTGCCATCTTAAATGAATTATTTATGCAAGCCATGCAAAGCAGGTTTGTTAAATTTTCATATTGGCCATTGAAAGAGAAGAGAAAAATTAACATGCTTCAAAGAAAAGCCAGAAATGCATGTTCTTTCTTTTGCCATATTTCAGAGTAACATTTTTCACTGTGTATTTTATCACATGAGAATGGACTATGAAGACTGTACGAGGATATTTCTAAAGAATTAATGAACATTATCGTGGATATCAGTTTTTGTGAAATCTGAGGCTTTGCTGAAGTCTGACTACTGAAAAAAAGTGTACAAAATATTTTTGTTTCTCCTCTTTCTTCCGGTTGTTGTTATAGCACAATATTGTGCATTTTCAAAGGCCTCTATATATTTGCAACAATTGGAGTTTTTGCTGAAGCTTAGATGTTTTCATGAGTAAACAGCTGTTTTGTAAATATATATATAAATATAAATAAAGTATATATATATATACACACATAAAACTGAGTGATTATGTGTTAGAGAGTTTGAAGGTGATTAGATAAAGAAAATCGTGTTTCTAATGAGAGGAATATTAGTGAACTCGAACTGAACTTGTGTACATGCATCTGTCTTTAACACACAAATCTGCTGTATTTAGTATATTAGATGGCTAATGTATGAGAAGTATGGAAATTTGCATTAAAATCCATCAATATGTAGCTTTCCAATTGTTTATTAAATATATGTAATTATTTAAATCATTGCCATAATGTTTTTGTTTCAGCACATTCTTTTAAAAACAACATTTTATTTATTTTCATAAAATTTGAAACTAATGTTATGTATTATATATTTTAATTGTATAATTTAATGATATAAATAAATTTTATATATTCTAGATATTTACATGTAGGAAATAAATGCACATGTTTGATTCGAGATTAGAACAGAATATGTCCGAGTGGGTGGGAAGTCTTGTTTAACATATTTTCAAGGTTCTGATGGGTAATAAATACTTGGTAATATGTTGTATATCTTTATTATTCTTTTAAAAATATAATATTTGTTTTTAAAATCTGTAGTTTTGCTTTTAGTTTTTAAATGGTTTTCTCAGTAAATCTAAAAAGTTAGAATGTATTTTTTCAATTGAAATTTTCAAGGGTAAGGAAATTTTCCCAGTCTGAAATAATTTTAAGAAAAAATGGCATGCATATGTTTTTAACGAATATGCAATTAAAGTATTTGAAAAAATAATGAATTTTAAAACATAATAACAGCATCTGTAAAACATTTTCAAGCATTGAAAAAAAAAAAAAAAAATAATTACATTTTGCATCAAACTGAAATAAAGCAGCATCTTTCACAGCATTTTTAAATGAAAAACATCTAGTTCTTGCATTTTAAAACAAAGAAACAAAGGGAATCTTTCTTAAGCCTTAAACATCTGTTGTCACTTTCAAATGACACTCTGGGGTAGGATGTATATTTTTTGCCAAAAAAATCTTCTTGCTTCTTGCTTGGATGCTTGCTTATTTATTATTATATTCACATTTTTAATCAATGCTTTCAACATGATAAAAATTTCTGCTTTGCAGCATTAAGCTTTACATTTTTAATTTCTCTGGATTCAGGGTATATTAATATCTAGCATTTTCTTTTCAACATTCATAGCACCTTTGTTTCTTGTTACATTATTATTAACATGAATACCAAATATCAGCTGTGACTTAACAGCATAAGTCATTCATATTAATTTTGTGAACATTTGTCACTTTTTTTAATCAGCTTTCAAAATAAATCAGCTGTATTAAGATCCTGCCAGAAATCATGTGCGCCATTTATTTAATGTTGATCTGTTTGTTCTGTAAGACTTGAGTATGGTTCAGGAGAAAATGTTTTTTCATGTTCAGGCAACTTGGAAGCTACATATGGTATTTCTGATAGGAAAAGAATATGTATAATTCATTCTCTTAATCTTTGCCTGACACACAACCATTCAAAATGTGATATTCATAAGAAAGTAATTTTTTCTCTCTCTAAGGTTTTGAACTATATATGCTAAATGGTTATTCTTTTTTTTAAAATTTAATATTTAATGAAATGTGGAATGTAGAGGAATGAGTTAGAACATTTTCTTCATTTATAACATGGTTGTCTGTTTTTGAAATTATATTTTTGTGGAATAATTTTTACAAAGGAAGGAACTGAGAACATTCTGAGTGATGTTTGAATCCAATTTTCTGTATGAATTTGCTGTAGTAGTTTGCTTTAAAAAAATTTTTAAGTGAATTATCAGAATTGAAAAATTTCATATTTTTATTGACTGGTTGAAATTATTCCTGCAAATGTTTTTCTTTAAATTCATAAATGTATTTGTTTTTCTGAAGATAAAAAAAAAGTTTGTTTTTAATACTATAATTTAAAAATTGAATATATGTGATATTTTTAGTGGAAATAATTGTTTCAGTTATGAGTTATATTTTGCTATAAATGTTGGTCATTCAGTATGTTTTCACTCTCTGTACTGAAGTATGGTCAGAAATCATCAATATTGTTGTGCCTTTTTTTCCTTTTTGCTGAGATAAATTAGGTTTAGTGTTTTCTAAGAAATAAGAAATGATTCGGTATATTTAAATAACTATTTATTTCATTACTCCAGTTCTTATGTGCCTAATACCAATAGTGAAAAAGAGTTTAAAATGATTGTGATTTTTGAATTGAATCGTCCTGGTCACGATTCAGAATAAGGTGCTATTGTGGTATATATAAACGCAGTATTCATGTAATGTAACATTTATTGATAGCACAATAGATTTAATACTTTTAAATGAGGAATCTTTTTCAAGAATTAGGAAGTCGGTGAGAAGAAGAGAAGAGATTTTTAATCATAATGTAATTTTAAAATAATGTATTTGAATTGCTAATTTAATATTTGTAATATTGCCCCCTTTTTTTGGTCCTCATTTCTTTTATTAACAATTGCTACAGTTGCATAGATTTAATTTCAGAAGTTTTTAGAGGTGCAATTTGACTCTTAATCTAGTGAAAGAGTTTTAAAAAAATTGTTGAACGTATTACGATGGAATATTTTATAACATTAAATCAAAATAATCTTTTTTGTTGTGTAAATGTTTCCTGTTCAGAACTGTTTAAACTTAGTGCTATCGATGTAATCTTTCCTGTGAGCTTTTTTCATGTATTGAAAACTACGTCCATAAGAGCATGCATATCGGGCACGAATATCATTGTTTTTTTGCCATGACTCTGATATACAGCAGTCATTGTGAGAAATTTAGAGTAGTAAAATTGTATTTGTGATAATATGCCTGCTCACTGCATGGTCATGAAGGCTGCAATATGAATGAAGATATCTTACGTCTGCTTAATTTAAGACAAAGGCCTTACATGCGAGCTGAGTGCATTTAAAACCGATAGTAAGAAAGGCTAAACGTTGATCATATTGCTGCATTTTTAATTTCGCGATAGTCATTTTAATACATACCAATTTTATGACATAAAGCAGCGTCAGGCTATAACAATAGATAGATAGATGCCATGTAGTTGTTAAGAATTTCTGATTAATGGGTTACGACCGCATAATGTTACAATATTGGTCAGTTACGCCTGTAAATAACATTTATTATTATACTTATAGTTTTTTATTGAAATTCTATGCTTTTTTCACATGTCTAGTTGATAACGCGAGTTCGGAAGAAACTTAAAACTTTTCAGCTCAAATAGCTTTAACAAAATCAAAAAGAGAGACGATTATGAGAGAAAAATCAAAAAGAGTATATATTAATATAAAAACTGTGTTGAAAATAGAAGACTTCGAATGGAAAGTACGCTTGGAAGTTTTCCCAAATGTTTTAAAATTTATGCATCTTTGAGTGGCATCATTGTAAGATTTGCTCCAGAAAATGAAATAATTATGCTTTCGGTATTTCAGATTAACTTTGATCGTAAGTACACAAAAGAAAATATTTATTTTAAATTGTAATTATTTATAAAACATTTATTTTAGGAAACTTCTACACTGCTTTGTTTGCAAAAATAATTTTTAAAAAATATTGTTTTATAGTCATGTTTCGAATCAAAATGTACAGATGTAAATTGTTTTGTAGGAAGATTGGTGAATTTTATGTTTTTGTTTTATATTTTATTTTACGACGAAGTTCTCTACGGCAATGGATGCGCAGAAAATCAAAAATAAATGTTATTTTTTTTTTGTTTGTTTGTTTTGGTTTCAACCATTAAAAGAAAAAAAAAAAACTGTTGAATAATTTAAAATTTTATTTTTATTGATTAACAGTGATAAGAAGTTCAAATTTTTTATCAGAATAATAATGGCATTAACAAAGTACAGACGGCGGGAGCGATTATCATGTGTGATTTCTTAGCTTCTGCGTGTTTCTGAATGACCATGAAGTGGAAGGCCACGTTTGTTTTTGAATTAAAAAATAGAGAAAAGTAGGGTATAGTTCCTGAGATATATTTTAATGAGTAAGCATTGATATTTTGAGAGAGAAAGAGATCTTCAGAAATATATGTAAATATTAGATAGCAAAGACAAAGTTAAAGACATTTTGCAAGTAGTTCTGTAAAGCTCATTTTGACGTTGTTTTCGTTTTCTACGTCGCAAAAGCTTCCTACGGAAGTATTCGCTTGCAAATCAGATCTGAAGGGAACATTCAAGTCTCTTTTCTGTGTTATTCTTTTGTCTGAAGCGGCTTGCATGTCCTAGAAGACCTGCATTTGCTTTTGAGTTGAATTGTTGGTGTGATCGTGTACCAATAAGTGATTGAGAGATTTGTAGATCTATCTATATATATATAAATATATACACAAAAAATATATGAGATATATTCTAAGAAAAATATCTGATGTAAAGTTTATGGACTGTGTCGAGTCAGGACAGGCTTTTACATTTAATGTGAATACATGTTTCTATTTGTTCATGAATGTCATTGGCCAAATTATAAAAGCACACACACATTGTCATATATGTCAAAGTGATTAAAGTGTTTTGTGAAAAGTTAATATTGTTGTTTTGTTTTATTAGTGTCATATTTTTCTTCTACGGTGCTTTGCAAATTGTCTTCTGATTCATTATATTAAGTGTATAGACAAGATCTAAAATACATTGAGTAATGAACGTAACATAACTAACCTGTAACTTCAAAATGCAGTTTCATAAAACTAGTGGAACGGATTTTCGTATACTACCGTTTTAAAAATAAGCGCATTGAACGTTGGCATTTTGTAGCAAAAGATTAAAACTCTGAAATCTGTTTTCCTGATAAACGTATGGTAAGATACTCGATGTTTTGTCAGACATTTATGATTGATTGTTTTGACATATTAGTGGCGTTATTTTGTTCATTATGCTGAAAGCGTTATGTATCTGTAAATTTTCGTAGAAAATATGAAAAAAAAGATATTAGTTATGCTTTTGATGCTAAATAACATAACACTTTAATAAAAACAAAATGCTAAATTATGTAAACGAATGATTACTAAAAAATTGATGTCTGCGTGTAAATGTTAATTACAACATTGATTCTGGAATGGTCGTTACGAAGCAAAATGTATAGCCCACGCTTAATGTACAGTCGCAGTTGGGAAATTATCTTTGAGACATTTTGACACACTGGCAGTATGTTTCCTTTTTCAGAATTAACAGCTACCATATTTTATTAGTGATAGCTACTATATTTTATTGATTATCGTCATATAGCCAGTAATTATAACTATACAATAATAATTATAAAAATTGCTCCAAGTAAATATTTAGCCAATCCTTCTAAATATTGGCCTGATTGAAAAAAATGAAAAATAACACTGATGTCATATGAATACAGGAGAAAGAATAAAAAACACAATTTAGGCGGAATGCATTAAAATAATTCTGTGTTGCAATATTCAAAACCTATGGTTTGCAGTGAAATCTCTAAGGCATGAGCCCTGAAAATGGCTGTTTCTGAGAACAAGCTAAATAAATATCAG